AGTAAGTCTATCATATATGAAAAAAACTGATTTCTCTCTTGCCTCGCATCATTATCGCTAATATTTTTCGGATTGATACCTTATTCTTTTTTTTTTCTATCCTACTCACATATCATGTAATCAGTTTTTTTTCTTGTTGTCGACTTCGTCAAAGTAACATTGTCTATTTTTATTAGATTAATTTTCCCAGTGGTACTTTGCAATTTTATTTGACATGTAAAAGGTGATTAATTCGGTTATTTATTGAATATTACGAATATTATTAATATAGAAAAGTCGACATTATTAAAAATTAGTTAATGTGCATCAAATTATAGAATAGAAATTTTTTAAAAGTTTAAATATTCCATAAATAGAAAATAAAGCTTTGAAATAGACCAAGAGTGTGTTCATTATTAATGGAAGAAGGATTCTAGCAGAAAGTCATGAAATTCTTAACCAGAAAAGAATTGTTTTGTTTTTTCCTTATTTATTCTTTCATGATTTTCCTCTCGAATAATCAAATAAACTAATAATCAGTAGATGATTATTTTATTAACTATTAGATCAAAGTTTTTTTATTGTGATTCTATCATTTATTTTAACTCATTTCTATTCTTTTCTTTTTCCTTTGTGTCATTATCATCATTTTTCTTTCACTCTTCATTATTTGTCATGCATGTGAAAATTCTCTTTCCATCACAGTTGTTGTCAAAGAAAAGATATCGTAGATTTGAACATGTTAATGTTGTTGATGAATGATGACAAAGAACAATCATATAAATATAAATATATATTGTTACTTATTTGTCTAAATCATTCGTTAATTAATGCGTGTAAATGACATCCAACATATTTAGGATTCGAGGGCAACAAGTAAATCAAGTTGACATATGGTATTAGCCTTTGTTTTAGTAGAAAAGCATTAATAAGTATATACATGTGTTTATAACATAGAGACTAAAGACACAGACTTAAATATGATAGTATATAGACATAAAACGAAAGACAGATCACAGTTGTGTGATTGATTAGACATTTATCTATATTTAGTAGAATAGTTCAGTGAATGCGTGCAGATAATTTCCGCTTATATAAATGCAATGTGCTATTGGCAAATTTCTTTCCTATATTCTTTTTTCTCGTAGTTTTTATTGATAAATTACAGTCCATCGATCGATCACATAGGAATGCATATACATTTATGACATAAATCGATGTTTTTCTTTTCTTTTTTTTTTTTTTTTTTTTTTTTTTGTCGAATATCAATTTTATTGAAGTCAAGAATATTCTTCAATAAAAAAGATTAAATGAGTTTCTTTCTTTATGATTAGTAATAAAAATATGTTGTTACGTGCTGTCGATGTTTTCGACATTTATGTCGAACCATTTATTCATTCTGGTTTCCGTCTACCTAACCAACCTTATTCATATTATTATCGATCACTTTTTTCATTACATAATGAAACATTATCTGTATGGACTCATTTATTTGGTACAATTATTCTTATTGTACAAGCCTTTCAACAAATTTCTCAATTATCAATAAATTCATATTCAACAATACAATCTATTTATATTATTTATAATTGTATTGGTGCTTGTATTATGCTTTTGTGTTCAGCTCAAGCACATTTATTTCATTCAAGAACATTAGCTGATCATTTACGTTCATTTTATCTTGATTATTTTGGAATTAATTTTTATGGTTTTACATCGGGTATTATTCTTAATAGATTTTCACATAAACAAAAATTTTCCATGGTAAATAAATTACATGTAAAGAATTTTTATTATTTAAATAGTCAATTTTTTAAATTATGTTACTCTTTTTAATTAAATAGAAACAAAAATTTGAATTCAAATGCAAAGAATTTACAGGAGTAATAGAGTTCATATCGATGCTTTTATATTCAACTTTGAAAAAAACTTCTAATTAATCCTTTGAGGACGGATTTTTTTTAGATCAAAAGATATTTCTTCGAGCATTTTTTTTGTGCTTTACTCATGCAAATTACGACTCTGTGTAAAAATGTGCAAAACATTGTTTTTTTCCGATTATCTTACTGTT